ATACTAACTAATTAACACAGGATTTAAAAAGGCTTTTGCAGACTACGAAGAAAAGGTATGAGGAATATTTTTTTAATACTAGATATGCAATTACACAAGCATGTCTCTATTTGAATTTTGTGCACTGTGAAAATAATAAATTAATATGATTAATTTATAGTGATTAATAATAATAATAGTTTAAATAAATTTTATCTGCTTTAAAAAATGTAAATATTTTTTATTCCATATAGTTGTCTATAAGCTTGGTTTAGGAATTTGATATCAACTCTGTTGTTTTTTTGGTTATTGATTTTTGGAACAAATATGGAAAAGTGATGTTGTAACTAACAGTTTTTATTCTTTAATATTTTTTATTGAAAAGAAGTTTGTTCCGTCAGAAATTTATTACCTTATCGATTCCGATTACCTGTTAACATGCTTTTCCTGCATTTTCAATTATTTTGAACTTTTTGACAAAGATATTCGATAAAATATCCATGTAAATTTATAGGATTTTGATATTTGATAAATTAGGATTTTCATATTTTATAAGATGTGATGATTTATTAGAAGTGAATATTTTTTAACCTTTGACGTTCACCAGGGGTTTACTGGACCCCAACGCCACTTTGACCCCCAGCGACCATTTTTCACAAGGTCACACCTTTCCAAACATTTTTCTAACTTTTAAATTTTTTACCTTTAAAATGTTTGCTGTCGTATTGTAGATAGTTCAATTTTTATTATTTTCCGTAGGGTAGTTATAGTAATCGCAAAAAAATTAAAATGAAAATTTTCATATATCTTTCAAAGGTTTCTGACTGTTTTGGCATACCTTAGAAAAAATGGATGATACGTGTGTGTGTGTGCGGATACAAAATTTCGTCGACTATTTCGGGAACACGGATCAACCGATTTGAGTAATTAAATTTTAAAAATCCCCTTTTTTCCAAGTTTTTTTTTAATTCAATTTTCTATACGGGAAGTTCCTGCAATTTGCTTTAAGGCATGATGCCATGCACTACTAGTTACTACTAAAGAAGTAATTGTAACAAATCTAAAACATATCATCGACATATACCATTTACTATATTTTATCCTTGAACCAATCAATTTTAATATTGGATAATACTATTTTCTAGGCGTTATATTCTATCGTCTCGGTTAGAAAAATACATTCAATGACTTTGCAATTTTATTTTTAGCATTGAGGTAAATAATTTTAGCTTTTATCGTTTATTCTACAAAGTTGTAGAGTTCACAGTCGTTGATATTGATGGAAACGAATTTCATATATTGATTGATAATATTAATTAAAAAATAGCTCTTACCATCATGTTGGTTTGGGAAAACAGAAATATGTGAGTTAATAAAAGTCCATTAAATTAAATTAGTTTTTGAAATAGAGTGTATTGAAAAATTTGAGCACCTACTATTATTATTTATATTGAAATTTAATTCAACTCTACATATTAATTAATAAAAATTCCGTCTAAAAATAAATAATGTTAATTATAATATGATTCGTATTTGTATAGTCATGTAATTGTACAAAATTAAAAACACACCATAAAACGTGAGTTCTCAATCAAGTTAAAATTAATAAATATCAAGAGTTTAAGGTTATTCGTAATTAATGACGTTAATTTATTACATATTGATGTAATTTCTGACGAAATCCATAATTTTAAATATGAAAAAAAGCTTAAGCTTAAATGAAATTGAGAAAAAAAAATTGTTAATAAGGTTCTCTTTATGAATCCATTTAGCATATTATTATATTATTTACATATACTTTAAAATAAAAATAATTAAAATATATTTTAAATGAAAGTATTTTTTTTAAATATGATATAAAACTAAAATTAGTTGAAAGTGGCATTTTGCCTTAAGGCATGTTGCAAAAACTTCCCGACAGGTGTAATAATTGACTTAATCAACCAAAATTGAGATTTAGATATTTAGATAACTGTTAGTTTCAAAAAATCAAGTTCTTTTTTTTAATTAAATCTAAACTTTGCGATTTTCAATTGAATTTTCTTTCAATAATATTTCAAATTTTGATGGATTTTAAAAATAACTACTTGTTTTAACTTAAATTTTCATAAAGTTTGGTCTAGCAGTTTCGGAGATCTAGTAGAAAAAGTAAAATAAAGCCATTTGGCGGTCAAAAATGAT